ATTCGGGGCGCTAACTCTCCATTTGCTAACACAAGTGGGAAGATGGGGACACAGGGTGACCCTCTGAGAAAGGAGGTACCTTTTTAACTAAAAAAAAAAAAAAGAAAGAAAGAAAGAAAAAGAAAAGGGGGAAAAAAAAGGCAGAGAACTAATTCATTTATTTAACCCAGAAACGGTTATAATCTGCAACCGTGCAATCCTCTTACACAACTGTTTTGGCAAGCCCCCCTATGTTCCAACAAATATTAAACTGTGCTTGCCATTTGTCTAAGGAATCTTGCATTAATAAACATGAAGAAGAACACTTTTACCTCCCACTCTCAATGACGGGACAAAACAAAGACCAGCTGTATTCATCAATGGGTCCTTGTTCTGCACATAAAGGCTAATTACATTTTGCTTCAAGCCTACACATGGAAAACTTTACCGCTGCCATCCCCGACAAGTCAGCCTGCGCTGTCCCAGCTGACGCGGGGTGGTGACTGCTCACAATACATCAGGCTCTCGGGACAGCCCTGGTGCCTTCAACCTGTGGCCTGCTTTCCCAAATGGGGGTGACACTGCCCCGTGACAGAGAGGCGAGGGCAATGTGGGCTCTTGGGATCCCACGGGAGATGCTGCAATTCAAGTCCATCTTCCCCGAGGTCCGCTCATTTCAGAAATGCACACCAGGCCCCACTGTGAGCGAGCTTGTCGGGCGGAGCCTGTGTTTGCTGATCACGGAAGAGGGAACGGGTTATTAGTGACCGTGCTAGGGGCTGTCCGCATCCGTCGTCGGGGAAGGCAAGTGGGAGTGGTGGTCAGTGAGCGCCCCCAAGGCCACACGGAAGAGTCGTGGACCCTTCCCCCGAGCCACTTGTGGGTCAGCCTTCTCCAAAGCCCACGCTAGACTGTGCCACCCCATCCCCTTCTTGGGTTTTCTGTCGATGAGGATTTAAGAATTCCCTACTCTCTGAGAGAGAAAAGAAACGGTTTAGGAATGTTTTAAGGCCATTTGTGAAAAGGTTTGCCCCTGGTGGGCTTATATTCGTATGTATTAACGGGAAGACGTCTAGTCTAGTAAGATACACGTAGGGTGGGCCTGAGGCAGATGGCAGAGGGACAAACCTTTCCCATAAAATAAAAGGAGAGAGGGATGTGAGGGAGAGCCTCCAGATACAGGCAGTCTCCCAGACTGACGGACTCCCTGTAAAGCTACAAGAAAGTAGTGACTACTGACTCAGTCCATTCTCCACATTTTTTGTGGATTACTTACTCTGGGAAGCATGTACAGTAAGTGTTTGGCCCTAGGCTGCCTTTTGTTAGCAGTCAGTCCATTTCCGACTTGGGAAATGCCCGACCCCCGTGGAGGCCTGAGTCCGCCACCCTCCCCCACCCGGCCCCACATACACTGTGCCCACCTTGCCCCATCCCCACGTTCGGCACGCCTGGCTGGCCCCCGTGTTCTCACATACTGCACTCCTTTGCCTCCAGCAGCCCCTCACCCGAACTTATCTTTCCACCACAAACCGCATGTCACCCCCTTTAGGAAGGCTTCCCTGATTATTTCCTTTTGCTCCAGCTGGGTGCGCCTCCCCTGGAGGCTGCCCACTGGCTGCTGCTGAGTTTGGCCACGGGAGTCCTGGCAGCGGGAAGAAGGGATGGTAAGGTCAGGGGTTGCTCTTCGTCCCAAAGGCCACAGGTCCTCGCATGCCTCGGTGTGGTACAGCCCCCCAGTCCTGGTTCAAGCTGCCACATTCCCTCTGTGCTTTCCCTGCTGCCTGCCCCTAGCTGGAGTGTGCTGTCTGTCGCGTGGACCCCTGACAGCACGGAGGCTGTGCTTGCTAACATCACAGCAGTGATCACCCTGGATTCCAATGGCTTGTCTCCTGAGCTTTCTATCTCCGGATTCCCAGAGCCCAGCAAAGGGCTAGGCTCAGAGGAGGCCTCTAGGAATGTCTGCTGTGCTGGTGAGCGAATCTGTTATATCTGAGTCATGTCCCTCATGAGTTAGGCTTGTTCCCTCCACGAACGCACACAGTGCCACACCGAGCAATCCCCTGCTCTGATCCCGGGAGGTGACGCACCCTGAGCGCCCACGGCCCCGAAAGCAGTCTGTGACCACAGCCACAGTCCTGAAGCTGAACATTCTGTTAGAATAAGCAACTCTCATACTTCTTGATTCTATTTTCCACTTACTGGAGTTCGGTGAACATGAGCAAGTAATGCATGGATTTTCATTTATTTGGATTTTAGGGGGAAAAAAATCTTTTTGGCCTTAAGACACGCTGATACAATGAGAAACCGTCCAGAAACATTTCTCACTGAGCCCACACCAGTAACCGCCGTTGCTCATCAGATGCCAGTAGGGTCGGAGTCTAGGAGAGGTCTAGGGCCTCTGGGGCTTCCCTGGGTGACCTTGCTGGCTCAGGGGACCCAAGATTTAATGTTCTTACCTGTAACATGACAGAGCTGGCTGCTCAGAACAGCCCAGGAGTCAATGCGTCTATAGACAGTAACTAGAAAAATACTTAAGACTGAAAATCATCTCTGTCATCTTAAGGGAGCAGGATCACCTGGGGGCAGGGCCCTGACAGGTGACTGAGCTGTCATTCTCCAGCATGAGCCTGGCCTCTAGCAAGGTCAGAGAGGGTAGGGACAGAGGATGGGAGACCCTGACTCTCTGGGCTGTCTCCTGGTGACTCCCCGGCCACCATATTCCCCACCCAGCGGGGATGGAAACCTGTGAGCGGGGAACATTTACGCCCTTTCTAGATGACTCTTCTCTGCTCAGTCGCTTCCCCAACCCCTAAAACAAACCAACCAAATGGACACAAATTTTCTACGTGGCTCCTTTAGAAGCCCAATGAGGAAATGATGAGTCTAAACCAGGGACCAGTACTTAGCCGTCATGTGACAAGTGGCATTATTTGCTGTCATTTCTGAATGGTTTCGGTAGATGCTCTGTCCTCAGGCTGTTTCTTTTCCTCAAGTAGGTGCGTGTCTGAGGCTAAAAGCACCTCCCCAGCATGCCCCGGGAGGACACGGCAGGAGACGCCAGCTTCTGGAAGCCGAGCCTTTTCTAACACTCTCAGAGCCATGGCTTTCAAAATAATCTTTCATTGAGACCCACCGGAAGAACTGCGTTTTACATTGCGACCCAATAACTGTACATTTATATTTTTAGATTTATACACATAACGGACACAAAAGTGTCACAAAACAGTATCTGACTTCACTATGTGCCATGAGCCACGATACTGTCTACTCCATTCTGTTATTGCGTTTTCTATTGTATTTTATTGTTCAACCAGCTGGTCGCTACTCACTACACTGATTTTGTCCCTGTGACACCCAGTTTGAGAAAGACTGGCTTAGGGGGGCTCAGACACGGATTGCAAAACTTTTGAAGTGAGTAACAAAGCAAGCTTTGGTTAATTATAGAAACACAAGATATATCTATGTCTTCTAGAAAGAGATGTGGTTTAAAAAAATAAAATAATGAACACTAGTGAAAAAAAAAAAAAGGGGAATTTACCAAGAAAGACAATGACTATTCTTCTTAGTAAAGTCCAGGCAGAAATAATAGAAAAATAAAGGTGGCAGGCTGGCAGAATAGGGGGGCTAGACACGGACACCGAGGAGTATCAGGGTGACAGCAGTTGGTATGGTTTCTGCTGAGCTTCCATCTGAGGGGTGAGTGGGGGGGTGAGGGCCAACCCATCGACGCTGGTGCCCAGGGTCGGAGGAGTTAATACCGGAGCCTCCACGTTTCAGAGGGAAATCTTAACAGTTAAACACCTCAGAGTCAGCTCCTTCCATCCCACCTGAAGTCACACTTCAGCACGCCGAGACAAGAAGGTAGAACGACCTGGCAACTCTCACCGGGATTAGATATGCCAACAGGTGGACCAGAGTCGCCGAGACCAAGGAGGGTATTTTCGTCTTTGCGCCGAAGTTCTGTGCTCATGATCAAAATCGGCTCTGCCCGCGAGGCCTGGCTAGCTCTCAAGGTCTCTAGCTACTCAACGATGCAAAGGTCGAGAGCCCACCGAGGTGGGCCCTGGGAGCAGCAGGCCCAGCAGCAACGTCAGAGGCCAAGGGCGAGTGTGATGGGACAGAGGGATGCCTAGCATAGAGCAGGAGCCCGGGAGGAGGCGGTGCTCTTCGGACCCCCCCCACCCCCGCACCGATGCCCGCGCAGGTTCTATGGGAACACAGCAGGAGCCCCTCCTCACTGGTGCGGAGCAGCCTGGGGGGCATGGGCTTCTGCTGGAGACTGGGGGGAGCCTCCCAGGACAGGAGGATGTGGCTCAACCTCTCGTCTGGCGGTTCTGCCTGTCTGGACCTCGGCAGAGGAGACTGGGGCTAGGGCCAATCTCTGCTGCTTTTTCACCTCTCTTGATTTCTGTCAATACTGTTCCTTCCTTCCAGGGGCTCTGCATGGAGGGCGGGCCGGCAACGGGTGCACCTGTGCTGCCCCAGATCACTGATTTCCTTCTGACAAGAGCCTCGGGTGACACGCCCGCCGTAACACGCGCGCCCCTACGCGTGTGTGTCCGCACACGAACGCCTCGTGTTCTGCGGTGTGACGGGAGTAAATACTTCTGTGTGGGAGCCAAGGACGCGGCCACAGGAAAAGGTGATGTGATTTGCCCAGACCCAGCTCCCCGAAACGTCCCAAGAGTCACCTCTTCTATAGGATGCCCTGTTCCCAAACTTTCTTAGAAAAAGGCACATGGTGACGAGGCTTCACAATAATTAAGGACACAAGTTCCAGTGTTCTAGGGCCACCAGAGCTTACTGTCACATCGTGGGTATTAGACTGACGCAAGCAGCTCACGGGGATGACACTGTTTTCCTCACAGCAGCTCTGAGGCCGAGCGCCTCCTGAATCCTGTCCCTCTTTGCGAAAGCCAACAGACAGGAGGGCGAGGCAGGGGGACTCTTCTGTGGATTAGCAAAATCGGGGGATACCTGACCGAAAGCATGCAGATGGAGGGAACCGGGCAGAGACTTACTTGGCAGTAATTTCTTCATCATATTTGGTTTTCAGGTCAAATAATTCTGTTCGAGTTTTTTCCAGGGCTGAAAGGCAGAGGACATAAAACCTTAATATAAGATACCAGTCATTCACATTAAATTAAAAAAGAAAAAGTAGGGGGGCCTGGTTGGCTCAGTCAGTTAAGCATCTGACTCTTGATTTCGGCTCAGATCATGATCTCAGGGTCGTGACATTGAGCCCCGCGTTGGGCTCTGCGCTGAGCATGGAGCCTGCTTGAGATTCTCTCTCTTCCCCCGCCCCTCCCCCCCTAAAAAAAAAAAAAGGAAAAAGTGTACAAGCAATATATTCACATCCAAGGAGTCAAAGATGACAAAAGTACACAGAATGGGGCCAAAAATCCCCTTTCATTTCCACCTCATCTTATCCATGCACCTCCTTGGAGATAACTCCTGTTACCGGTTCAGTGTGCAGATTTCCTGCTTTTATATATATTTATTTAAGAAATAGTTCCATACATTAACTGTGTGTGTGTACATATATATATATATATATATATATATATATATATATATATATAGTTTTGTTTTTTTCCCAGCCCCACACAGATAGGATGATACACATATATTCTGAGACTTGCTCTTTTCCTTTAGCAGAACAGCCTGGAAAGCGCTCCATGTCAGGACACAGGCAGTAACAATTAGCTCTTGCACGAAGCCTGCCAAATGCCGGGCAGAAGCCAAGGTCCTGGGGTAAGGAGCTGAGACGCTCCAGACAGACAAATGCCACCTAGCTGGCTCCCCTGACAGGCCAACTTGCATTCCCATCAATACTAGGAGTGGGACTATTTTCCTATACTCTCACCAACACCGGATATTATCAATTAAAGAAAATTCTTTTGACAGTCTGACAGGCAAAACAATCTTTCCCTGATTTAATTAGCATCCTCTTGCCTGTTACGAATTGTTAATGTTTTTTCATGTGTGTACTGGCCATGTGCATATCTCCTCTGCAGACTGCCTGTCTGTGTCTCTAGCCCCTCGTTCTACTGGACTGTTTATCTCTTTTTACTGATTTCTTAGTGATTTTTAGGCGGCCTCTAGAGTTTGGGGGTCTTATTCACGTGTCTGGAACCGTGCTGTATGTTTTCATACATCCTTCTGATGCCTTCCCCTCCACGTTTAAATTAAGTATATGACGCAGTTTCCCTTTCAGGAAAAAAAAAGAGAGAAAGAAGGAGAAGAAAAAAGCATAAAGAAATGATAAAAACTGTAGCACGATCTTTTTGGGCATCTTAAATTGTAAAGATCTGCTATTACTATGCTTAACTTCACTTAGGGTAGAAATAAGTGTTGTGGTTTTTTTGTTTTTTGTTTTTTTCCCCCATTATTGTTCCAAATGAAATGTCAGTTCTTGACAGCTTGGCGATTTAGATGTGTTTGTTGGAAAAAGAGCAGAAAGAAAGGATGGCGTGTGGAAGGGATGGAAAAGGAATTCAGATCCTCCTTCCTCGACGTTAATAACTCAGTGTGGGTGATAATGAAGTCAAGGTGGAGAGGCTGGGGGGCTCTGAGGGGCGTGGGCTCCTTCACTCCTCCAGGGTGCCCGGTACGGGGAGGGGGGAGGGTGCGGACCAGGGGATGGCCCAAAGCCCCCCCACTTTGGTCTTCCCCGAATGGGCTTGACTAGGATGAAGACCATCACACCTGTCTGCAGACTTTGAACTTTGTGCTCCGCTTCCTCCAGCTTTGAGGTGGTGGACATCTGTGTCTCCTGCAGCTTTCTGAAAAGGAAGAGAATAAAGCCAACTGGTCATCTTGTTTCCCAACGTGAACGTTTCGTGCGCGTTGGAGCTCGGCGGCCAATGATCTTTGCAGCAACCCACACATCTGGCAACAGGCACACAATTTGGCTACTGCTGGTGGTGCCATGAGCACCATGTGCCTGCTCCCCGATTTTCAGCACCCCGAGACTCTGTACCCACGTGTGACACTGTGGAGCGTGCATCCTGAGGGACCTGACGTGTGCTAATGGATGCAGCCAGTTATCTTAAATGTAACTTGTTCCTCACATGCCAGATATTAAAAAAAAAAACACAACAAAAAACCATCATCAGGCACTCATTGTTTTCTGAAGTTACCCAAGAAGAATGACACATTTACATTTTGCTGACACAATGAGGAATTTGTTGGCATAAAGGACGTGCTAATAGATGTGACAGGTGGCTCCAGGTCTGGTATAATGGGATGCAAATGTGACGGTAATACCTAATGCGCGATGCTCAACGGGTGAACCCAGTGTCCCCAGATTCACATTTCCCCTGATCTCCAAATGAATTCCCTGGTCAATAAATAGCATTCCTCCCTCCTCATCTGCAGAAAATTTCTAAAAATAGGTTCATTATTTTTACATCTTATGAACAGAACACATGCTCTCAGACTAACAAACCTGGGAATATAGAAAAGTAGAAATTACACTGTTTGAAAAAAAAAAAATCACCCAAATTTCCATCCCCTAAGGAGAAGGACTGCTCACGTTTTCACATATTCCAATTATAAAACTATTACAGGTTCCGAGTTAAAAAAAAAAAAACACCAAACCCACCAGCACAACTATTCTATAAACTCACATGTAATATACAAGAGTGTAATATACACTCTCTGCCCCTTTTAGTGTGAAAGGGATCCTAGCACACACACCCTGGCCTGCTTTTTCACTTAGTTCCAAAGGCTTGCCTGCTTTTCCACTTAGTTCCTTACTTTGGAAGTGTTCTATACCAGCATACACAGCTCCTCCCCATTCTTATTAAATAATTAACGTAACCAGCCTCTGTGGACACTTAGATTGTTTATCGACTCTTTCCACTAAACAATTCTGCAGTGATCATTATGCAGACATTGTTGTATAATTCTGACAGTGAATCTGTTGGATGAAGTTCTAGCAGAGGAATTAGAATGGTCAAAGAGTACGTGCAATTTTTTGTTACTGTTGTTCTGATATTGAGAAACTTCCCAACAACAACAAAAACCTCACTAATTTAAACTCTTGCCAACAATATGCGAGTGTTTGTTTTCCTGTGCCAACACTGGATAAAATTAAACTGAATTTTTCTGCTGAGTAAAGCTGAGCATTCGTTTCACTTTGTACGAACTGTCTGTGTATCTCCTTCGTCCACTTCATAGCACTCATTTTTTTTCCTATTAATTTGTAAGGGCCCTTATGTGGTGGGAAAATGTCTTCCTAGTTTTTTGATGCTTTTACAATGTTTATTGTTATTTATTTTTAACAATTGGTTTTCAATTATGATTAGAAATACCTACTCTAAAATTATTAAAAACAACTTGCCTAAGTTTTCTTCCAGTATGTACATGATTGAATTATTAATGTTGAAACCGTAGATCCCTTTCAATTTCTTGGTGTAAAGAACGAGATAAAAAAAATCCTTCATCCCAAGTGGTCAGTCTGATATTTGCATCTTTAAATATAATTAATTCTTTTACCTAGTTTGAAAAGCCAATTTAATAATATCAAATTCCCAGATGAATTTACTTCCACAATTTTCAAATGCATGACTTTGCTCTGTGCAACTGTAATCACGTGGTATGTAATTCTGTATCATGCATTTTTCACTCCCTATCATGCTGGATACATTGCTGGTCTCATTTCAAATTCTACACTGCTATTATTTTATTTATTTATTTATTTATTTTTAATTTTTTTACACTGCTATTATTTTAATGGCTGTGTAATGTTCCAGTTGGGGATGGCCCAGCTTTATCTACGCATTTCTCTCTGGCCGGGCATTTTGACTGCTTTTATCCCATCCCCTCACCCTAATATCAGTAACATGGTGAGAAACTGCTTTGGGCATACAGTGCTCTCCTAGGAGGCACGCTGGGGCTGGGTCAAGAGTCTGCTCAGCTTTCAGAGCCCTGACTCTGTGGGGCTCCCTTCTTTCCTGGGCGGGGGGCAGCACCTGGCCCCGCTCTCCCAGGCCGCGCAGGACTGGCCTTGGTCCGGCAGTGAGAACTCTGGGAGGCTACATGCGACCACCAGGGGAGGCCAGAGCCGGAGTGGTGGGCTGGGCTCTGGTCCCACCTCTGGGTGGCTAGCGGGAGAACATGGGCAGGTCCCAAATCTGAAGCCCGGTTTCTCTATCTGTAACAGATTTTATTGATATCAGCTGCTTGATATATGGAGCGTGGTGAGGTACAGAAAAGAGGCAAAAAACAACAAAAAAATCCAAAAACCAAAAAAAACCAAGGTTTGTGTGTAATGTTAAATATCCACATTCATTTCAGAAGGTGGCAGGAGTTTGACCGACGTGCATCCAGGGCGTCCCCGGAGAGGGCACACGGCCATGCCCTGTCATCTCAGCTCACATCAGCACATGCCAAGCACACACACTTTGTGCTCAACCCCTGGACCCACTCTGGTCCCCTTGACCACCTGACGCCATCCCCCCACGGGTAAAGACCGATGCACGGCACTCAAGGTAATCTCTCAGGTGACAGAGTAAGGGACGCCTTTATTTTTCAAACAAAATTTTGCTGAGAGCCCCACAGAGCGAGGTTTACGACCTGGGCTGGTCTCGTGTGGACCCCAACAGACACTCACCTCTCCTTTTCTGCAAAATCATTTTGTAACTTTTGTTCCTTTTCGAGAGCTATAGTCTCCGCTTGGTTCTTCAGAGTCTGTTCATATTCTCGGATTTTTTCTTTAAGTGCTTTTATCGTAACCTCTGCAGAAAGGGAAACATGGGCGTGAGAGGCCTAGCACGATTCCACGCGGCTTTTGTAACCTGGTAGGATCGCTGTTTTAAACTTTAGCTCCTCAACCCTGACACAAAATCAATGGTTATGAGTCCCTTTGGAGACCTTTTACTCCCTAAATGTTAAATTGAACTTTAAACATTTAGGCTGCGGAGGATCAATGGATTTTGCTGGGAAGAATAGCTATGGTTTCTTCAATACAACTTAAAAAAAAAGTGTGTGTGTGTGGGGGGGAATCAGCGGTCACACAGAATATCATCTTATTGATAAACTTTAAATTAGTCCTCTACTGAGGAAAGACAAATCGTGTTTTTGTGCGGTTTAAGTACTTTCTCACAAAGAAAACTGTTCATAATTGTGTGCGCGTTTTGGAAGAAGGGGTCTTGGCCAAAGTCAGGTGAGTCTACAGACGTCCCCGGCCCTGGGCTGTGGTTCCCCATTTTCACAAGCGATGGAGTGCATAGTGTGCTAAGTGGATACGGTGTGCATCTCCTCTGCTCGAAGGGACACACCCTGGAGCTTGGGTGCCAAACACCCACCACCCAGGCTGGAGTCCAGAAGATGGGGGCTGTGCGCACAGAGCAGGTGGTGCAGGGCCTAGGGGAGCCACATCTGAGGGAGAGTGAGTGCCAGGCGTGTGGGCAGAAGTGCTGGGTGATGGAGGAGTCTTGCGGGGCTCAGTGCTCAGGACAGGGCCCCATGGGGAATAGGGTCCCACCACCACCGAGTGCATGTTTAGAGCCCTCACTTTAATGACCCCAAATGGGAATGCCAAGGCAGATATAATGAGCAGGGCAGGGTCCTGACTCAGACCCATGGGTGGCTCGAGGGCAGGACTATTCCGCCTGCTCCCTACCATAGACACCCCCATATCACCCTCTGTGCTGTACATTCCCTGGCAGGGCACTGCGGTCCCAGCTCCAGGGACAGTAGAGCTCTTGGGGAGCCGACCTGCTGTGCATGGATCCATCTCGTAAAAGGCCAGGCCGAGAGAGGGCCAAGGCACGAATGAATGGAGGAGGCTAGGCAGGTTGACCGGGGCCTGTGACAATGGAGCTGAGGCTCACAGGACGACACTGGCTGCCAGGTCTTCGCCCAAGTAAGAGCTTGCACTAAGGCCTCCGGTCCTTCAGGCTGTAACTCGCTTCCACTTTTACTCCCCCAACTGCACAGAGGTGCTGGGCAGTTAGTACCTGCATGGCTTAGTGGATAAAAGCTAAAGGCTCTTTCATTAAGAGAAGAAACTGGCCCTTTTCATTAAGTGGAACCCAAAGGGTTCTCCTTAGAGGGAGAGAGAGGAAATTAAAACCAATGACCCTGTCAGGGCACCTGAAAGGAGAAAGGGGGTCTTTCTGCCTTTGGGGCTCGCTGTTTGGGGCCTGAAAAAAACGCTCTGTGGGCCTCATGGCTAGTGATGCACATCACTGTCGAGCCACACGGATAGGGCCAAAGTTGTCCACTTCCCAAGTGGACGCCATGACAGGTCAACTCTGAAAACACATGCACACTCTTTTAAGTCAATGGTCTATATGACTGTGTCAACGTCTAGCATTTCTGCCTCTCACAATTGGTGGGAAATATCTGTATTGCCTGTGGACCTCAGTGCTCATCCCAGTGGGGTTTCTCAGTGTGACACAGCTATGCTCCTCCCAGGGGAGTTTGGGGCACCAGCTGGGGGCTCCCACTCCGTCTGATGAGGTCTCTTTGCCATCCCCACCCCGCCTGGGCTGCTCGTTGGCCAGCCGAGACTAAGCCAGGGGCTGGCTCGTCCTGGAGCCTCTGGTCCTCCTCTGGCAGGCAGGCCTGGGTCTGGGACATTCTGTGTCCCAGCTGGAACCCCTCCACATGAGCCCATGAGGAGGAAGAATGGTCCCAGAGAGGACCGCAGCGCTCTGCTCTAGACGGCAGGGAGAGTTCCAGCACTTGATAAAGAGAGGCCCTTCCTGCTGTAACTTTTCATCCATCTATGCTACGGCTGTGACGATAAATATACGTGACGCACACCCCACCTTCCCAAATCAAAACCACTGTATACTGGTAAGAAAAGAGAGGAAATCGCCATTTTTCTAGAATTTGGGAAAAATCTATAAAGATATCAAATAAAGGGGGGGCTGGGAATTTCTAGAAAAAACAGCCGTGTACACTAAGAGCCTCTGATATGTACTGAGTGTTGGGAAAAGAGGTAAAGGTTTCCCCATCTCATGTAAGCCCACCACAATCCTAAGTGGTTACTATGTGAAGCCTCCTATCCAAGAAAAGGAGGACTTTCACAAAGTGAGGTCCCTCAATCACTTGTTTAAGGTCTCAGAGCTAAACAGTGGCCCCGAAGGGTCTCAAAGCAGGTCTGTCCGCCTCTGGAGCCTTTGTTCTTAAGTCATGGGACTATGGTATTTCACTGAACAAAGCCCATGAGATGGGGCCTTTGGGGAGGAGGACATCCCACACTCAGTTACGGTTCCTCGCTGGGCAACTGGCCATGGGGGTGCTGACCGAGCCAGGTGGGGGAGGGAGGCCACGTAAAGCCCTGGGCCCACCAGCACGTCCTCCAACAAAAAAATCAATCCATAAAAAAACACCCAAAGAGTGGGTCTTGCAAAATGAGACGTCAGAGGTCACGGGAGGGAAAAAAGCAGCCCCCTCCTTTTGGGTAGTGCTACAAGGAACCCAGATGTGTGCATTTCCAGGTTCTCTCTCACCCGGAGTTGTATGTGTGTGGGGGGGGGACAGGCAGCCCCTTCTCTCACCTGGATCCCAGCCTGCTATGTCCAACGCCTCACTCTGAAGCAGGACTATGCTGTCCCAATTCGCCCCAAAGGCTTACTGCTCCCTGTGGAGCTAGAGCAAGATGGCAATTCCTCTGGTTCTGTGCTCCCCCTCCTGGGGGGGTGGGGAAGAAGGGGGATCCTCAGGACTGCCTCTCGAAGCCTGTCTCCAATGGTCTCAAAGCCAAAGGATCTAAGTGATCTGTATCCAGCGCTCAGAGCGGATTAAAGAGAGCCCTCCAAAGTCACCCAAGAGGTCAGCCTCTGGCTCCCAGCTCCTTCCTCGCCCACACTTCCAAATCGAAACACACAGGTGAAGTTTTACGTGGCGTTGGCAGAACGACCCACAGCTGCTGCGACATGGGGCCTCGCTCTGTCCCCGCAACAGGGAAGCCTGCGGGCTCCTGGACACGGTGACCACATCTGGATTTGAGGTGCCTCGGAGATCTCTTTGTTCTTCCCCGACAGGAAGAGCCAGGCGACCTTTGCCCTCCCGGCCCCGGTCGCCAGCTGGGCAGCCCCACTGGTTCTCTTTCATTAAATTCGGAAGGATGAGGGGACGCGGACCAGCGGCCGTTACTAAAGGACTTACTGGCCGTGGCCCTTTGATCACGAGCTGGCTCTCTGACAGGTGTCGCCCGCAGGCAACACATCAGCCTTTTAAAAGGCGGATCCCATCACATGATGGTCCAGGAAGAATGTGAAAGAATCCTGGATGGTCCCGTCACAGGGCAATAAATATTGCATGTGTTGTTATTGTGCTGAGGAGAAGTCTGGCTTCCAAACGGCTAAGCGTTATTACTATGATTATCTCTCCTTAACGATTCTGATTTGGGCCCCACCCTGACTTCGTGACGTGGAGTACAGTTAGAGCTGGTCCCAACAGCGTGGGGAAGGCAATTAGAGGCAGAGGGAAAAAAAAGAAAAGAAAGCAAGCAAGCAAAGACCAGACAAAGCAAAGTACAGAACGGATCTGCCACCAACCTTGATTTTTCACTTCGGCAAATTCCTTGTTGTACTCTTCCAGAGTTTCCCTAAGCTTCTGGTTCTCTGTTTCAATGTCGTGCAGACGCTGCACTTTGAGCTGGAGCTGCTGCCCGAGGTCCAGAGCAGGCACGGGATCTACGGGAGAGGAAAACGCCTGTCACCCCACTCTGGCCATGGACCGGCCACGTTCACGGCCACGCGGAGGCTCGGAGCGGGCCATCTGCGGTGCCCAGGAAGTCAGCCTCCCGCGGGCTCCCCTGTGGATGCCACTGCTTGCCAGAAGCCAGGGTACCTGTGGCCTCCCTGTCCCCCTGCCCCCCGCAGAGCCCTGGGCCCCAGGGCTGGCTGGCTGGGGACGCTTCTCTGCGGCCTACAAAGGATGTGTATGCAGACGCACCCTCCAGGGCCACAGCCTATGGATGCGGCCTGGGAATGGCCACGGGTGCACTGGGATTTGCCCATCTCTCTGGCATGGTGTGACACTCGAAGGATTTCTTGGTCCTTGATCGGACTCACAGGAAGGGGATGCGTGTGGAGGTGGCAAGGGGAGGAAACCCGGGAAAGTCCACCAGGCTTGCAAGATGGACAGTGCGTGGCAAGGTGCCATAAGCCTCAAGTTCCCAGTAATTCTCAGGAAGCTGGAAATAACACCTGATCCTCTGACAGGGTCTCACCGTCAGACACGCTCTGACAGACGTTTTCTCTGATTTTCCCCACAATCCTAGGAAGGGGATGTGACGGTGTGTCGCATTCCTGTCACACAAGTGGAGACTAAAGCTCGGGGGAGCACAATGACTTGCCCAAGGTTTCCCGGCTACTTAGCGGGCCTGCCAGCTGGGGGGGCCAAGACACCCCGGATCATAGTATGGACTGCAGGAGACTGCACCTGGACTGGCCACGGGGGGTCCTATGGCCAACTCGGTGTACCAACTGCAAGCAGGCTGACTTACACAAAACTGGATTTTAACCTCAAATTTGAGACTGCAGACACGGAATCTGCAATACCGACTCTTGGCCTTTGACTTTATCGCTAATTCAGCGTGAAATGGAGAGACGTTAGATGCTCTCTGGGCGTCGATCTGCTCTTTGTTTTTCTTTCTGCTGCCTGAAAGGCACTTCTGGTCCACCTGCTGGGCACCGGTGGAGCGCCTCCCCTAGAATTCTCGGGCCCCGTCGGAGTGGAATACCCCAGTCCGCTGGGCTTAGAAGAGATTACTGAAGATATTTCTGGTATGGACGCCAGCCTCACTTGTGAGGTGGCTACAAAGATTTAGTCTCTGCTTGAGGAATGCTAAACACCAAGCCCTGTGGATCAACATGTGTATATATTCAAGAGCTCACTTAATTTTCAAACACCAGTGTCATTAATTTTCAGACCACCCTCGGTTCCTGGAAGTGAGGGGAGATCTCCCATGCCTTAGTGGGCCAGGCCGCCAGGAGCCAGGAACTCTGTGAGATGCCAATGTCTCTGCAGAGTTTACAGAAAGGCAGGCACTGGGAAATGTCTAGCGCCACGGCGGACCTGCACGTGGGCTTTAACACAACACTGCCCGTCACGTGACACCATGGCCAGGGGGGCATTTATCCTGGGTGTATACACAGTTTATAACTACAACGTTTTCTCATTTGTGGCTTTTCATTATTATTTTAATCAGCATTAAAATATTTACATTAAATTATATTTCAAAAGCTATTTTGGGGAAACAGTTCCTTGTAAGTAGGGGTAGCGATAACACCAGAGGCTGAATTCTTCCGAACGTTCCAGGTGCGGGGTTTTTGTCCTGTTTTTTCCATTCCACGCTTCTCCTTCCTACCTCCCCACCTCCAACCGCCACTTTTTTCACCCTTCTCCCTGTGGTCTCACACTGGGCAACTGGCCTGAAGGACACAAACAGGATGCCCAGGGCCCCCTTCACCTAGAACTCCCATCTGAACTTGACACCAAGGTCAGGGAAGGATTGAGGAGAAGGAGAAACGCTGTACTTGAATAACATTCTATTAACGTTTGCGCACGTCGGCTTTCGGGCACAACTGTCCGTACACGTTATATTTTTAGAGAGCTAAGCTAGTGTCCTGCCCTCTCCATCCCCAAAATTTCTGTCGACAACTCTTCTAGTCCATTCCTTTTAAAAGGCCAGGACCCACTGTGTCTGCTTCAAATAAAAAATAGCTTCTCTCGTTCGATTCAGCCAGGAACTCAGTGACATATAAAAAATAACATGCACATTATCAAGTGAATGGGAACTAGACCTTTAGACAAAATTTCAAAGCATTACATTGTAAATGAAAATTCTGGCAATCTCATAATTATTCATTAGGCATGTATATTTAATTTAACACTATTAAAGGTTAATGCCTGAGTAGCAAAACTGGTCACAGAATAAAGAATGAACTGAATGTTCAAACATCTCTATGCATTAAACTTCAAACTTTACTGCAGTACAGCTGAATGACTAGACGCCTACAGCATTTGAATATTGTTTTGGATTATGTAAAAGGCATTGCTAAAGTACCTCTTAGGCTTATTTTTTATTACTTGTATTAAAGGAACAGCTAATTACCACATGACAATATAATGACTCTAGCATGTTTGGGCTGGAGACCAAAACAATGACTCTCGGCATGCCAAACCCCAACCTGTATGTTAGTCCAGGGGAAATCATGGCTTTTTGTCTCCTTAATGATTCCCGATGCCATTAAACCCCACACAAGTATTGTTGGGTCTCATTCTGAACGTCACAAGCATCCAACCTCAATTAGGGAACTGTCTGGGGGAGGCCAGGGGACACACCCATGAGAGGGACAGGAACACACGAAATCCTGCAAACCCGTCTGCCCTGCCTCTTCCAATTCAATGGGCTCTATCGTTGGTTCCATCCACCCCAACGTGACAAACTTGCAAAGTGTTTTACAATCATCTGATAGTTAATTCCTAAAACGCTCTGAGGCATTATATAGCTCATTATGCAACACAGGACCCAGAACATAATTACCACAAACAACAACAATACCATCACTTGTATTTATCCAGCACCTTCTCTGATGTACATGTAACATGACCTCATTAATTCCAGCCGTCACAGTCAGAGGTCGGGGGAAGGGCCACTAGCATCCCACCCAGGGACAGCGGGGAGGGTGAGGAGAGAAGTCGGAGGCAAACAGACACACACAATTCTAATTAAGATTTCTGCTTCCTGAACCAGCAGCCAACTAAATTATACTGTCTCTTCAAGTACTAATTTAACAAGTATTTCCTATGCATCTCTCTGCTCCGGGCAAGGCCCTGGGGGAGGTGCAGGGATGGACATGCAGCAGAATCAGCTGGGACCAGCCTCACAGTAGAGACACACCAAGTTCACAAATGAACAAAGGGAAAGCAAGGAGGGCGACACTGAAGATGACATGAGCGGAAGACCACACCTGGATGGAGACAACTGGCAAAGGTAAACTCTTTTCAACGAGGAGACAGAATTGAGACCCGTGGAGACTGTGGGGCAATCGGTCCTTGTGGAAGACACAGCAAGCGGGCACAGAAGTGCCAGGCATGGCCAGGAGAACACTCCAGTCTGACTGCCGACACCCATGTACGTTTTATGACGTCAGGACTGTTCTAGGTGCTGGGGGGGGGGGGGGCATGGTGGTGAAAAGACAAAATCATTGCTCTCAAAGGCTTGACATTCTACTGAAATGAAGGAAACCGAAAAAAAAAGCAAACCTAAACAAAACAAAATACTTTCAAGTACTGCCAAACAGCAGCAGGAGAGGAAACAGGGTGTGGGAACAGGGAATGGGCCCTGGAGGCAGATGGACAGGGAGGGCCTCTTGGAAGAGGTGGCACTCAGAATCAGATCTGGGTGGCAAAGAGGAGAAACTCCGAAGCCTCTTGGCAGAAGGAAGAGCAGTGCAAAGGCCCAGAGGCAGGTATGAATGTGGCTTATCCAAGGCACAGAGGAAAGCCAGTGAGGCCGCAGTGAAGGGAGGAGAGCCACAAGGGACCATCGTCAGCAAGGCCTGTGCTTATGGAGCTGAAGAAGAATATGAACAAGGTTAAGGCGAGAAAACAGAAGACATAAAGAAGAATCAAACTGAATTCTGGATCTGAAAATACCACATCTGAGGTGCCCTGCCCGTGTGGTAAGTACCGTGTCAGTCTCATCAAAATACAATGTCTAAATCAAGTTTGTATTCAGCTCGACTCTTGATGGGAAAACCCACCAGAGAAGAGGACTCTGGAAAGGTGAGCCGTGGGGCCACAAGAAGAAAACTGCAGTACTTGGAACCAAAAAAAGGTTCGTTGGTTTAGTGGCAAAATATTTAAGAGTTTTAAGCTTCAAGACGAGTTACGCAATTTTCTTTTGAAAAGTTAAATGTTCCAAATTAGCTGCCCTGCTCTCTGATGGCAGATGGCTATCAGTAATATGCTGCCTGGCAGACATTTTTGAAAAAATAAATACACAGTCTACATCTTTGAAGTAGACTTGATATTTTAATACTTAGTGAGGAAAAAAACACTTCTTGAAAGAAACTCATGCTATAGTGACAGCATTTTAAAAGTAGTATTTGGAAACATTCCCATCATCATCTAAACTTACAGGCAAAGACAATGTCCTCTACAAAAATGTCTCAACTGCTAAAAATTACTGCAAAAATGCAAAGAAACAGGATAATCAGGGGGGTGGGGGGAGATAAGTTAATAAAAACAGAACTAGAAATGACAAGAGATAATGGGATTAGTTGACAAAGACAAAAACAGCTATTATAAGCCTGCTTGAGGATTTAAAGAAAAATATGAACACAACAAGGAGAGAAATGGAAGATACAAAGAAGAATCAAATGGAATTCTAGAGCTTGAAATACAATGTCTGAAATGAAAAAAAAAAAAAAATTCCCTAGACTGACTTAACACCAGATTAGACACTGCAAAAGAAAAAAGATCAGTGAATTCAAAGACACAATCATAGAAACTGTCTGAACAGAAAAAGTTACTAAAACCTCAGCAACCTGTGGAATGGTACGAGGCGATCTAACATACCTGTCCTGGAGAGGGGCAAGGGGTATATGTGAAGAAACAGTGGTGAAATATTCCAAATTTGGTAAAGGCTACAAACCTAAAACTCTAAGAAACTCAACAAACT